ATTTTTTATTTATATGCATTAGTTGTGGCGTAATTCAAATTTTAATATATTAGGATTTGCAATGATCGATGGGTGGTCAGATATTTTTTGGAGGGAAGTGTACATGTCACAGGCGCGCAGTAGTACACCTTTCAGTTTCTTTTTCAAAGAGCTTCTTTTGAAATGTCTTTTGGAAGCGTTTCTGTACGTCATCGGCAACTAATGACTGATCACCATGATTTAATGATCTATAATGATCATACCGTTTCTTCAATGCTTCTCCAAAATCAAAGTAATAAATAGCAAAGAACATCTTGCATTGTCTTTTAAGTTAGTCTTCACCAGCAACAATATTTGTGATTAGCATAAAACATCATAAAAAAAGTATGTAAAAATTATATAAAAAGTAAATGCCCTCACGCAAAGTGCAAAGCACTGATCTGATACTTTAATTTTCTAATGTATACACAATTTTTATTTTCTGATGCATCACACGTGTTAAACAGTTACAAATGCAAACCTAGCTTAAATACATTATGCAGAATGATGGAAAAAATTAAACTGTAATTGACAAGATCGATGCTGATTCTGACTCTTTGAAACCATTTCTTTAAAACTTGGTGTTTCAAGAGTGCTTCGCCTGCTTGGTTCTTTATTTTCGGTAGAAATAATACAATTATCCCAAAATGTATTAGATATGATGAGAAGCGTATCAAGACTGGTGAGGAAGGTAGGAACCTCTTTAAGTGACATAGGCGCATCAACGTGACTAACTTCTACCATAATATATAAGGCATCACACAACAGAGTGGTGAGATAGAATGTGATGTGTTGTCCTATTGAGTACAGAGCACTTGTTCAGTAATGAGTGATCTAAAAAAAGTTACTGTTGGAAAACTTACCGACGACCTGAAATCTGAGCATACAATTCATGTTATAAAAATCAATTGCGTTCTTATTAAACACCGCTATCCGGATGAGATCAGTGCAAAAGAGGTAAAGGTTATTCGCCTCTTCTTGAACTTTCGCTTCACTGTGCCCTTTGTTCAAGCCCAAGATAGCTGATCGATTTCGTTGATGATAGCGTCAGGTTATTTTGCCCTGCCTATTTGCTTTCTAGCTTTGGACTCTTCTGCCTGTTTATTCGACCTATAGTATTCCTATTGATTAGGAAATGTTATATAAAAATATAATCAAGTTAAAAAGCTTACCATCGCAGAAATATACCATGATTAGGGTTGCTGAAAAGCGGACACAGAATTGGATCAATATAAGTAGTATAAAGCTCCACCTCTCCAATAGGGCTTTTTAATGTGATTCTTGACACTCTTTCGATACTAATAAATGGATGAAAAATGTGTGAGCATTGGATACTGTAAAAGACCTCATCCCAAAATTCGCTACAATCTTACATGTTTCTTATTACCTTCAGAATTGCGCGTTCCCCATAAGAGCGATCAACTGCAAGAATTTGCAGTTCTGAAACTGCTTTGTCTCTATCAATCTCATTTCGTTGCAGGAGCTGTAACAAGAATAATGAACACATTAAATTTTTTTACAACAAATAAGTGTAAAAATAATGGTAATACCTTGATAATTCGAATAAGCTCTATTAATGTTTTTTCGTCAAATTCCGATTCTTGCTTGGTAAATCTCTTTATTATGTCCTTATGTATGATTTCTAATAAATCTCCACTAAAAACCTCTAACATTAACGGACAATGCTGTTTAGGCTTCAATAAGAGAACGTGTGATAAGGATCTATATAGTATTAAGATAATTGCAATTATTCCGCAGTAATCTAATTGATGAAAAAAAAATTGAAAGCATACAATATTTATTATGTGTGATTTTTGACAAATAAACCTTCTTTATTTGCTAATTCCAGTGATTTTTCTTTAAATAGATGCTATTTTTCGGAGACATCGAGGTTATTTAATATCCATCTGGACTCTTCTCAGGGCAAAGATCCCAATTGCAATTTTATAACATTATTGATAATGGCTGGGCAGTCAACATGTCTATTATCTAAAAGTGAGTCTAATTCATGATTGTTCCTAGATACGAAATCCAATTCTGGCTGTGACGATAGTGGTGATGGAGTGGAATGTCTTGGCGATATTTGCTCTTAGATATTCAATTTTATCTAAAAATGAGATAGAAACGCAAACGTGATAAAAGTTATTATATAACAACCTATGCAGGGTTCGTGTGTCATTTGAAGAGCACATTTTGTGCTAAAAATTAAAGGATCATGTTAAATTATTTGTTGATATGACTATTTAACTCCTAGGATATTTATTTCAATGATTATCATACCTTCTCTGTGTCCAAATCTACCTTAGATATTTCGCAATTTGAATTATCATCACACAAATTCAGTGATTCATCATCAATATTATTATCAAAAAACGGATTGTTTTCTGCAATTGGTTCGCTTAATCCAAATGAATGATAATGTGTTAATAACAGACATCAACAATGAATGACAAACGTGATGAAGATTACGTGCATTGCCCCTTCTGTTCATGGATATCAGGAATATTCATGCTCTCTTTTACCTAATATAGGAAATGTGCATAAACTTTTATGTTCTCGTAGCTTTATTACCACTGTGATTTTTACCTTTTTACATGAAGATACGTTTTCTTCAGTCTCATTTTCTTATTTTTGAGGAAGTCGTAACTTTACACCTTCGGTTAGTACCTCCTGCTTATATGCATATTGAGTAAGCTGTTTGCAGAAAAAAGTATTAGAATAGACTAATACAGTCCAGATACTTTATAGACGTTCCATTCTGATATCTTATCACTCTTCCAAATATGTTGAGATGTCCTAGAGAGGCAGTTTAAATAGCGGTTTTTTCCTCAATTTCCTTCTAGAAGTTGCGTACAACTTGTGTCTTTTCCGTCTTAAAAGGGAGAAAGATTCAGTACAGAAAATAAAGGGGCTATTTTTCATGATAGTGCAGGATCCAGCTTCATCTGAACCAGCAGATCATCACAAGAGCAACCAGCAGATGCTCTTGCTAGATAAGCGAAATTGACTTCAACTGAACCAGCGGATTATCACAAGAATAACCAGCGAATACTCTTGCTTGTTGAAAGTCTACCTGAACCAGCAGATCATCACAAGAGCAACCAGCGGATGCTCTTGCTGGGTAAATTAAAACCAGAGTGTTGCAGTAAGCAAAAAAGGTAATATACTCATACCTCGAACGTGTTAAAGGCGATTTCCGCGCTTTGTACATTAAGCCTTCGCTGTTCTTTTAACTCAGCTAAATACCAACTATGTTCAGTCTGGGAATTTTCTACAAAAGAAGCGTCATTCTTTCTTTGCAACAAGTACTCGTGAAGAAAATTATTGCAACTTTTTCTGAGTATTTTTTCAGTAGTCGTCTTTCTTTCTTTTTTTGCGTCCATTATGATTTATGAGAGATAAATCAGACTACTGATGGGTTTTACGCGTATCAATATATCGGTATCATATTAGTAAATCACATGATTGGTAGATTTATTGATAATTTCGATTAACTCTAGGGTAAAGCCCACGGATTTGTGCATTTGCATAATTTCGTATTTATGCACTCCAGGAGAGACTAGCCCTGTTCAATTCTAATCTATTTTGATCTGATCCAATTTTTTTGAAATTATTTTAACCAATTAAAAAATAGTAAGAATCGAGCAAATAAATTCTAAATTGATCTGTTTCATTTTAATTTTAACCAATCATGTCAATTAAACAAGATGTAGACAATGCTTTATTATTATTAA